TGTTTATGATGTCGGTCTCTTATGTGTAAGTCACTTCTTAGATTCATTTATTTATGTTTATGTAATCAGTCAACTTGGATACTATATTAGTATCAAAAGTAACCAAAAATATATTCCTTTAGTTATATCAAAGATGTATCTTAATAATTTGTTATTTCTAAATTATTGTTTAAATATTCATATACTGTTGCCTAAAAAGGACTAACATATATTGGTATATAACATTTATTAGAGTATTTGCAATATGCTAGGGACTGTGCTAAGCTCTTTACATGGACTGGTGGCCAACCCTATGTTAGAGGTTATCATAATTCTTCACACTGCGGAGACTGAGGCTCAGAGAGATGGGATACTTGACCAAGGTACACAATTAACATTGGCAGAGTGAGATTTAAATTCTGAAATTCTTACTCTACCAAGGTCTGTGCATTTATATACTCTATACCATTGACAATTGACAAAATTAAGATAAATGACAAATTTAGGAAGGCAGAAGGAATTCTACGTGGAGACGCAGAGGCTAAAGAAAACAAGATAGAGAATGAAAAGAATACGGGAAGAACAGTAGCGTTAGTGAAACCACGGTGTGCTGGCATCCACCCAGGAAGCACACAGGGTGGTAAAGGAGTGAGTTCCGCTCTCAAGTGGCATGAGCTGTAGTTGGTGGAATAGACAATTCCCACGTCCCACCCCTTGCAACTTCTCAGTGCTCTGGCATCCTGAAAATTACTACCCTGCTCAAAGGAAGAGGAAGTATTGTATTGAGAACCTAAGATGACATAATATGATAAAAGAAGTGGTAAAAAGAAGTCAGTTGGTCACCTTGCATTTTACAAAGAGTAAGTATGAATATTCTCAATTACTCTACTGAATTGCCCATGTATCCTGTTATATATTACAGTGTCTATCATTAAAAGTGTTGCAATAGAGACGCTAGAGTTATGACTGTGAAGATTCATTCATCATGCTGGAAGGGATGGCTCAGAGGACAAAATGCCTGTTTTCACCAACAATGACACTGTGTCCAGAGGTTAATAATAACAGGCAAGAGGTATTGACTCAGCAGCTCATCTTCTGAATGAAGCTGGTTCCATAAAGTTTACTCAGATGGTGGAGGGTTCTTTGGACAATGTCTGGAAGAAATCTGCCTACCCTTCCTGGGTAATGAAAATTCCTACAACCTGTATAAATCTAGGACTTCCTCCAGTTTCCTGGCAGCTTGAGATATGAGAGAACCAAAGGATTTCAACAGTCTTAGAATCGGTCCCTGCTCTGGCTAGCTTTCCCTTCTTTGTCATGAGCCTTCCCCAAAACTACAGTAGTTCCCCTTTATCCTCAGTTTCACCTTCTGTGGTTTCAGTTACCTGTAGTCAACCAAGATCCAAAAATATTAATGGAAAATTTCAGAAATAACTAATTCATAAGTTTTACACTGGGCACCGTTCTGAGTAGTGTGATGAAATCTCATGCTGTCCTGCTCAGGACATGAATCATCCCTTTGGCCAGCATGTCCACGCCATAGGTGCTCCCTGTCCATTAGTCACTTAGCAGCCATCTTAGTTACCACCTGTCCCCATAATGCAATTGTGTTCAAATGACCCTTATTATACTTAGTAATGTCCCAAAGCACAAAAGTAGTGATACTGGAAATTTGAATATGCCAAAGAGAAGCTGTGACATACTTCTTGAAGTAAAAATGTAAGTAGGGTAGAATAAATATTGAGAGAGAAGAAAAGAATGTGAGAACCCGGTCACATAACCTTTAGTTTATTTTTTCTTTGTTGATTTTAGAAAGAGAAGAAGGGACAGGGAGACAGACAGAAACATCAATTAAAGAGAACATCAATCAGCCACCTCCTGCATGCCCCCCACTGGGGATTTGGCCCACAACATGGGCATGTGCCCTGACTGGGAATCGAACCAGTGACTTCTTGGTGCATGGGTTGACGCTCAACCACTGAGCACACCAGCCGGGCAAGTTTATGTTAATTATTTTGTTAATCTCTTACTGTTTCTAACTTATAAATTAATCTTTTTCATAGGTATGTGTATATTAAAAAAACATTGTATATAGAGGGTCCATTACTACCTGCAGTATCAGGTATCCACTGGGGGTCCTGGAATGTATCCCCACAGAAAAGGGGGTCTACTCTACTTCTTTCTTCAACTGTTTAATATCCTATGTTTTAGCTGTCTATAGTAGTGTCTTTCTTCACCCTCTCATAATTTCTTAATTTTAACATTTATACTCAGATCAGTCCACTCATCCACTTAATGACATAAACTACTCTTTTATTTTAAAAAGTATGTCACTTTTACAGCTTTATCAATTACTTTACAGTGACAAAGAAAAATCCATCTTTATAAAAGTATATTCTTAAAAATTTATTAGCTAAGTTAGTATCAATTTGGAGAAGTCTTTGTTCCAGTTGTAATCTCAAAATCAATGCAGCATATATTTATTGAGTACCCACAATGTATCAGATATTGTTCTGAGCACCAGCAAAAAAGCCCTGTCCCTGCTCCCATCAAGAGAAGGGGATAGACAACTACAAACAGGTGTTGAGTGTAATAACCATGGGGCAGCAAAGTGTCCTAGAAACAGATTGATCTCTCTGAACTCAGAGGGACAGCGTTGAGTAGGGACTTAGAGCCTTTTATTTCTAAAGGCATGGTTTGACAGGATCTGGTTTTTAGATTTGAGCTTCTAAATTAGTATAAATCTCAAATTTGGGGGAGATGTTTAAAAGATAAGCATTATATAGTTAAAACTATACGGTTATGACGATGAGAGTTTGAGAAGCTGGAGAAGTGAGATGAATATGAACATAAGCTAATTTTAGTCATGCACACACCATTTCTTCTTTTACTTCTTCTGTAAGCCCATTCCAAGATTTCATCACCACATTCTTTACCACCATCTCAGACATTATCAATGTTTCTGATACATTGCACCCTCCTCCTCCCCTACTCTTCCTGACTTTTAGATGGGACTGCTTCCATATATGCTGATACTCTAGTTATGACAACAACCCAGCCCTCCCTCTTCCAGCTACCTCTGCCATGAGATCACTGTCTCCTTCTTTAATACCCACTGTCAATCCTATGTGTTTATTTCCCACACATAATGCATGATGTGGTCATTCATTATTATTGGGCTTTTTTTTTTAAATATTAATTTATGCCTTCCTAATACCTGTTTGCACTGCCTTCACTCAAAATTGTCTTCCCCCAGGATTAGGATGGTGTGTGGTCACTGGCAGTCTAAACAGCATGCACGAGGGACTGGCGCCCTCTGGTGGTGAGAGGATACCCTGAGTAGGATGGCCGAGGAATAGTCTCAATACCATCTCACCACCTAGAGATCCGTGTATCTTCAGGATCCTTTTTGTTATTTTATGTAGAGTTGGTCCTTCCTTTCCCTTTTTCCCTTATTTGCATTTTCCTGTCTTATTTTAACACCTTGCACACAGTGCAAGGAGAAACTCAAAGATGATGACAGTGTTGGCATGATGACTTGTGACATAGGTTTAATTCAGTCACAATAGAATGTCAGTGGTTCTTGAAAGAGGACGGTGATCATCATTCTTCATTTCTCAAAACAAGAAAAACATGAGTGTGAATGCATAGTGAGCTATTTTGCTCCACTGAAGAAAACACGCATTCAATATAAAAACTGATAAATGGGAACTAAGATCAATTGTGAAATATTCCTTATAAGTGTTAACATTAGAGTCAATCAAATAGCACCTTTTAAAGATAATGTAAATTTTGTTCTGTCTAAACTTAGATATGGACAAAAATGACCACTAAAATTCCTCTTTCCTCAAAAATTCTGAATCTTGTGTATGCATTCAAATGTTTTTTCAAAAAGGTCAATGTAATATTTATCTTTCATGAATCTACCAGCAGTATTTCTCCTAATGTTGATCTGTGGTCTGATATTTATTGCCTCACTAAACATCTGTCTTACTTCTGTTAATCCAGCTCCAAATCTTGCATTTGGTATTCCACCTGAATACAGTTTCTTGGAAAAACAGGAAAGGTGGTTAGCAGCTTACTGGTGACTTCTAGAGTGGCAATATTTCTATGTTTACTCTATGAAGAGGCAAATTATTCCACCTAAAGTTATCACATATATATTTTGAATTCCATAATAGGGTTCATAGAATAAGTAAATTAAATTTGGTTGAAACTAATTTAAATATCATTATTCTCTATTAAACTCAATTTTTTTATGGAAGTTTTACTTTCCCTTTATAGTTTGTAAATACTCAGCAATTCAAATGTAAAATCTGGAAATTACCAATAACATCTAATTGATAAACAAAATTAAAAAGGTTCTCATTCAAGCCTTGAAAAGGCAAGAAGAGTCATAATATCTGCAAGTAGAAATACTATGTGGCAAGAATAAAGGGTAAAATTATTATTATGCATATTCAAATGTAAAACAAAGTAGGACAAAAACCTAGATCCATTAAATGAAAGTGTAATAACTGTTCTCCTTCTCTATTCTTGCCTCTCTAAAGTCAATCCTCCTTGACCCAGTGTAAGTAATCTTTTGAAAACATAAACCAGACCATGTAACTCCTGCTCTCGGCCATCTTAGCTCATATCAGAGTTTTTACCATGGTCTACAAGGTCTGACACGTACTAGCCATGGCTGTCTCTTCAGTAGCTTTTCCTACCAGTCTCCCCATAACCCATTCATGTTTAGAAGCAACCATACCTGCAAAAAGAATTGGCAAAGTGCGCATTTGTTCGTGTGCTTAATCTTTCATTCCAAAGGTGTTCCGGTTTTCCATAATGAAGTGACAAATGCTAACACAGGCACGATGGACCAATATGATAACTACCAAGAGACAGGATCCAGTTGAAGGAAGTTAATCATAACTATGCTTAACTATCTGAAGAAGTGGTTCTTACAGACATGTCAGCAATTAGGGCAGGAATTACTCTACTGATGATATTTCACCAAATAATACCAACTAAAGACTTACCTGCAGCAACTATGATAATATCTGCCAACTGAGTGTGGATCTTCAGTTGTTCTTTGGGGGTATATCTGTGAGCTATTGTCACAGTTGCATCACCTGGAATGCAGAAGAACTTCCATTAATGATTACTTTGCTTTCCCATGATTTCATGAATGCTCCAATTCTAGAGGAGTTTCAGTTACATCTTAAATGTAAACTAAACTAAATTTTTTTAAAAAAATTGCTTTGAAATAATTAGATCACTTTGAAAACAAAAGCTAGGTACAAAAATGTAGATGACCTATATTATTGTACCCTTCAATTAACCAGTGGAAAATCAAATGAGGCCAAATGAAGGCATGTGCTGACAATCACAGGAGAGCTATAAGTATGACCCTAGAACCTAGCATTTGAAAGCTCTGCAATGACAAGTGAATACATAGTCACTCATTGGCTTGGTGATAAGACATATAAATACTGAAAACAGCAGGGTGAATACACTAAAATGGGGCAGCATATTGTGGCCGGACAGGTTAGAGATTCATTCTGCCTCATTTTGGCAGATGCCTCAATGTGAGGAAGTGTCAAAAAAGAGTTCCTAAAGCAGGTAGTCTACTCTTTTAGGTCTTAAAGCATGAGTAGGAATACACCAACGGGGGAAGGAAGAAAAAGGCATTCAAAAAAAAAAAATGGCAGAAAAAAATGGACCAACTTTGAAATGATGTGTTTAGGAAACAAAGTCTAGACTATCACAGAAACTATTCATACATGCTTTAATAAAGTGATGTATGAATAAGACAGGTTAAGAGACAGGGATTCCAGTGTGCAGACTGAGAGCCAAGAAAGAGGAGTGAGAGAAAGGCAGTGATGAGTGCAGTCAAAGCAAGGGCTTCTGCTATGAACATGGCTGAGTAAGTCAGTATTTTCTCTCTTCCCTTCCTGGATAACATACAACAAAAACTGCACAATCTCTATTTTTTAGCAAAACTAGAACACATTTACCACAGACTCTGAAAACATATAGGAGTCACCCAGGAGTAGTAGAGTTAGTACACACCGCACAGGGAGAAGGGCAGCAAAGAAATGCAAAGAAAAACAAGATGGCCAGCAGCAACAGATTTCTAAAAATGACTGCAAAAATTTACTTCCTGAAGGTGAAGGGTTCACATCAAAATGCAAATACTTGTAGCAGATTAAACAGGAAGAAAGGATGAAAGAGCCCTCTTGGGTACAGTTCACAGTAGGTGGTAACATCAAGACTTACACACGGGAGTCATTTCAACAGGAGAGAAGTAGTTTGGTTCTGTGAAGGTAAGGGAGGAATCTGAAGGCTGCCCATTACTCCCTCCACAATCCCTAGCAGAAGTATCCTGAAAATAGCAGATCCAATAAATCCAACTCATTCAATAATAAGTAATTTTAAAAAGCATTTGACAAAGCATTGAAAGTATACTATATAAGGATCTGCCCAGGGGAATTTGGGTGGTGATAGAACTGTTTAGGTTAATTACATGACTATATGCATTTGTCTAAATTCATGGAACTGTATACCAAAAAGAGTGAATTTTACTATATGCAATTTTCTTAAGTAAGTAAAATGATACATTTAAAAAATGGCAGACCCAAGAAAAAAGCAAAGAATAAAGCCAATCAGAAAGCATATATGCACCCCTATGTTCATAGCAGTGTTATTTACAATAGTTAAGATCTAGAGAGGACCGAAAAATGGCGGCGGAGTGAACGGAGCTACACAGACCGTCTCCCAGAACCAAACTGGAATTACAACTATAACACAGACAAATCGAGGGGAAAAACCAACAGAAAAGCAGCTTGCGAGGACCATACAACGAGGGACACTGACTCCATCCCTGTAGGCTTGCGAAGGCACGAGACGGGGCTGGGAGCCCACAGTTGGCAGCTCGGCAGTGGCCTTAGCTGGGAGCAGCGCCCGCGGGTTACACTCCCAGGCGGCTCCACAGCGCAGCCTGGACAGAGGCTGAAACAGCCACAGCCACTCAACTTGGGCTCCGGCAGAGGGAGGGTGGACTGGACTGGAACTGCATCGGGACACTTGGGGTTTGGAGGGTGCTCAGAGCTTTTGCTGAGTTGCTGCCACCCAGGACAGTAGCCACATTGCTCCTTCCAAAGGCTCTGAGGAGAGGCAGCAGCCCCTCCCTCGGAGATCCAACCCCACCCTGTGGGCCATTGAAGTGCTAATTGAGGCTCACTAACAACCAGCATCTGCCCCACCCTCGTGAAAACCCCTTGGCTGAGCACCAGAGAGAGTTTTTCAATCAACTGACAACCCAAAACTCATCAAATAACCTAGACTGCTAGCCTCCAGGCAAAAAGCTAGAGGATAACAGTACCTTTCCTGGGCTGGCAACTTTAACCAGGAAAGTAAGACTTGACAGTGGTGTTCAACGTGGGTCCTCTCTCACTCATCTATACACAGGAGAGGGAGCCACAAACAGCGGAACACCAACACCCACAGGGAAAACTTGACAGGCTCCAAAGCCCACAGTGATATCCAAAATGGTGAAACACAGAAACAGAAGCCAAATGAAAGAGCAAGAGACCTCCACCGAAGATGAGATCAATGTGGAGCAATTAGGCATGTTAACAGAGCTAGAATTCAGAGCCATGATCTTGAGGAAGCTGAACAGCATGAGTAAGGACATAGAGACACTGAAAATAAGCCAATTGGAAATTAAAAACCAACAAGAAGAGATAAAAAATGACATATCAGAAATGAAAAACACATTGGAAGGTTTAAAAAGCAGAGTAGAGGAAGCTGAGGACCGGATCAGTGAATTACGAGACAGGGTAGAAAAAGTCAACCAATCAGAAAATTCTAAAGATAAACTATTAAAAAACAGGAAGACAGCTTAAGAGAACTATGGGACAACTGGTAACGTAATAATATTCGCATCATAGGAGTCCTTGAAGAAGAAGAAGAAAATGAGCAAGGGATAGAGAATATATTCAAAAAAATAGTGACAGAAAACTTCCCTAATTTGGTGAAGGAAGAAGGCATTCAAGTTCAAGAAGCACAGAGAGTCCCAAGTAAGAAGAACCCAAACAGGCCCACACCAAGACACATAGTAATTAAAATGCCACAAATTAAAGACAAAGAGAGAATCCTAAAAGCAGCAAGAGATAAGCAACAGGTTACCTACAAAGGGAACCCCATAAGGCTCTCAGCTGACTTCTCACAAGAAACACTACAGGCCAGAAGAGAATGACATGAAGTAATCAAAGTCATGAAAAACAAGAATCTGAATCCAAGACTACTCTACCCAGCAAGGCTATCATTCAAAATAGAAGATCAAATAAAGAGCTTCCCAGACAAAAAAGGGCTAAGGGAATACATTAGAACCAAACCAGCACTGCAAGAAATGTTAAAAGGACTGCTGTAATTAGCAGTAGAAATGGGAAGAAAAATAGAACCACACTAAACAAAAATGGCAATAAATAAGTACATATCAATAATCACCTTAAATGTAAATGGATTGAATGCTCCCATAAAAAGACACAGAGTAGCTGATTGGATAAGAAAGCATGACTCATCTATATGTTGTTTACAAGAGACCCACCTCTCAACAAAAGACTCACATAGGTTCAAAGTGAAGGGATGGAAAAAAATTTTCCAAGCAAATGGAAAGCAAAAAAAAGCTGGGGTAGCAATTCTCATATCTGATAAAATAGATTTCAAAATGAAGACCATAACTAGAGACAAAGAAGGTCACTATATAATATTGAAAGGATCTATCCAACAGGAAGATATAACCTTGATAAACATATATGCACCCAATATAGGAGCACCAAAATATATTAAAAATCTTCTGGAGGACTTCCAAGGAGAAATCAACAACAATACAATCATAGCAGGGGACTTCAACACCCCGTTGACAGCACTGGATAGATCCTCTAGGCAAAAAATTAGCAAGGAAACAGAGACTCTAAATGAAGCACTAGACCAAATGGATTTAATAGATATCTACAGAGAATTACACCCCAAAACTACAGAATACACATTCTTCTCAAGTGCACATGGGACATTCTCAAAGATAGACCACATGATAGGACACAAACTAAATCTCTACAAGTTCAAGAGGAATGAAATCATATCAAGCATCTTCTCAGATCACAATGGCATGAAACTAGAAATCAATTGCAACAAGAACATGCAAAGACATTTCAACACATGGAGGCTAAATAGCATGTTATTAAACAATGAATGGGTCACCGAGGAGATCAAGGAAGAAATTAAAAACTTCCTGGAAACCAATGAAAATGAACACACAACAACACAAAATCTATGGGATGCAGCGAAAGCAGTTCTGAGAGGGAAGTTCATAGCACTACAGGCCTACCTCAAAAAACAAGAAAAATTTCTAATTGACTGTCTAACCTCACAACTTAAAGAATTAGAAAGTAAACAAAAAGAAAACCCCAGTGCAAGTAGAAGGAAGGAAATAGTAAAGATCAGAGCAGAAACAAATGACATAGAGACCAAAAAAACAATTCAAAGGATCAATGAAACAAAGAGCTGGTTTTTTGAAAAGATAAACAAGATTGATGGACCCTTAGCTAGACTCACCAAGAAACAAAGAGAGAGAACCCAAATACACAAAATCAGAAGTGAAAGAGGAAAAGTAACAACCAACACCACGGAAATACAAAAGATCGTTAACAACTACTACGAACAACTATATGGCAACAAATTCGACAATCTAAGCGAAATGGACAAATTTCTAGAAACACACAGTCTCCCAAAACTATTCCCGGAAGAGATAGAAAACTTGAACAAACCAATAACAACTAAGAAAATTGAAGAGGTAATCAAGACTCTCCCAGCAAACAAAAGCCCAGGCCCAGATGGCTTCACGGGGGAGTTTTACCGGACATTCAAAAAAGAACTAACACCCATTCTCCACAAACTCTTTCAAAAAATTCAAGAAGAAGGAAGACTTCCAAACACATTCTATGAAGCCAGCATAATTCTAATTCCAAAACCAGAAAAAGACACTACAAAGAAAGAAAACTACAGGCCAATATCCCTGATGAACATAGACGCCAAAATACTGAACAAAATATTAGCAAATCGGATCCAG